ATCTGCCTGCTGCTGGGAGAAAGCACCACGGACTGGAAGCAGATCCGCTCCATCATCATGCGGGAGAACTTCATACCCACCATCGTCAACTTCTCTGCCGAGGAGATCAGGTGAGGAAGTGCAAATGCCAGGTTGTTGCCGGGAACTGAAGGAAGTTGTTCAGGTGTTGACAAGTTTCCTGTCCCCTCATGGTGCTGTATGCAGGAGACGCTTTCCAAAGGGAGCTATTTTGTCATCTCTGGCATGTTGTGTGCCAGAAGGCAGCGTTGGTTACGCTAATCACACAGATGCCTTTCCGGGCCATTTCCTCTCAAAGAAGTCAGAGTTTTTCCCTGCAGTAGTTTTCTAATCCCTCAGCCCTGGCCAGCCGACTTCTCTCCCTCCCTACAAGTAGCTGTGAGCATCCTGAGGATGCAGCCTCTCGCTGAAGTCAGAGCAGGGGTCACCCACCTGCAGCAGCAAACCTGGCTTGGGGTTGTCTCCTGTGAGGTGAGGGGCCAGGGCTGGCAGGTCCGAGGTGCTTCCATCAGCAGCATTGTCAGATGTCACCGAAGAACCAAGGGTCTGTCTGGCTCATCCGCATTGGTCACTGGGGCAACAAGATATGGAAGATGGCTGTACTCCTTTACATTCTGATTTCATAAAAAATCTTCTCTACTTTTGTCTAAACATGCTTAGAAATATGATTTCTATCTTGCAGTGATGCCATAAGGGAAAAGATGAAGAAAAACTACATGTCCAATCCAAGCTACAATTATGAAATTGTAAATCGGGCTTCCCTGGCTTGTGGGCCTATGGTGAAGTGGGCAATTGCACAGGTAATCAGCACAGCCAGAGCTCCTGTGGGAAAGGTGACCTCTTTTCCTGTCACTTTTGAGTAACTACTGTCTGTTTGCCTTCCCAGCTTAACTATGCAGACATGTTAAAGAGAGTGGAGCCCCTGCGTAATGAGCTGCAGAAGCTGGAAGATGATGCCAAGGACAATCAGCAGAAGGCCAACGAGGTGGAGCAGATGATCCGGGACCTGGAAGCCAGCATCGCCCGCTATAAGGAGGAGTACGCTGTCCTGATATCAGAGGCCCAGGCCATCAAGGCAGACCTGGCAGCTGTGGAAGCAAAAGTGAGACTAGCGTCATTAATCTGC